GCTATTCACTATAGCCTTATTAGGATGGCTAAAATAAATACAATGACAATACCAAGTGCTGAGCATGTGGAACAACTGAAATTCACACATTACTGATAGGAACATAAAATGGCACAACCACTCTGGGAAATACCTTTGCCGTTTCTTATACACTGACCAGACAGTCCAGCAATCCCATTCTAAGGCATTTACCCAGAGAAATGAAAACTCATGTTTACACAAATGCCTGCATGTGCATGTACATAGCAGTTCAATTCATAATCACCCAAAGTTGGAAACCATCCAAATATCCTTCAGTGAGTGAACGGATGGTATACAATGGACTACAGCAATAAAAAGGAACAATATAGTCAAACACAGCAATATGGATAAATCTTAAGGGCATTATGCTGAGTAATAGAGGCTAATCTGAAAATATTACAGTATTATGCAACTCCATTTACGTGACATCCTGGCAAAGGCAAAAACCACAGGGATGAAGAGGACCTCAAGTGGTTGGCAGGCCTTATGGGTAGAGGGAGGGCATGACTACTAGGGGAAAACATAAGGGAGTTTGAGGAGATTCTATATGCTCATTTTGGTGGTAGTTACAAGAATCTAAACGTGTATAACAACAAAGCTGATCTTACTCTGGGTTAATTTAAAAAATAAATTTTAAAAAACCCTTTATCAAAAGGGAAAACAGACTGAAAATAAAGGAAAAGAGCTTTCAATCTAAGATGTTGTACAAAGAACACTTAGAGAAAGGAGTGAAATAAAACCAGAAATTAACAGTAAACAAACAAGATGATTAGCAATCAAATGAACTAAACAAAATTGTTAAACATTAGGATCAAGTACAGCCAATCCCAAGAAGGAAATGTCAACTCAAAAGCAGTAATTCTGGGATGCCTGGGTGGCTCAGGTCATAATCCCAGGGTCCTCAGACTGAGTTCCACATCTGGCTCCTTGCTCAGCAGGGAGCCTTCCTCTCTCTCTCTGCCTCTCCCTGCCACTCTGACTGCTTCTGCACACGCTCGCTCTCTCTCTGACAAATAAATAAATAAAATCTTTTTAAAAAAGCAGTAATTCTTACTGTAAACCACCATTAACAAATTAACAGAGAAAAACTATGTATTTATAATCAAAAGATGTCAAAAACCATTTGCTAAAACCTAATTCCATTTCTGATTTAAAAAAAAAAACCTCTCAAACTAGAGATAGATATTCCCCTGAAGTTCATGAACATAGTCTATCAGAGACCTACAGAGCCCAATGTATTAAAGTGGGAAACACTGGCAGCATTACCTTTAAAGTCAGAAACAAGACAAGGACTATTCAACACCATAATAAAACTAGAAAAATCTAGACATATGAATACGTGAAAGAAAAGGGGTATTATGAGCTAAATCTGTCTCCCAACCCCCCCATTCATATGTTTAGTTCCTAACCCCCAGTACTTTAGAATGTGACTTATTTGGAGATAAGACTTTCAAAGAGATAATTAAGTTAAAATGAGGCCAATAGAGTGGGCCCTAATCCAACTTGACTGTATCCTTTTAAGAAGAGATTAGGATATACACAAGGACATCAGGGTCCTCTGTTCACAAAGGTAAAATCAGATGAGGAAGCAGCAAAAGGGTGGTCATCTGTAAACCAAGGAGAAGCCTCTGGGGAACCCAACACCACTAGCACTTTGATCTTGGACTTTCAGCCTCCAGAACTATGAGAAAATAAATTTCCGGCATTTAAGTCATCCAGTCTGTGGTATTTTGTTATGGCAGCCCTAGCAAACTAAGACAGGGAACGTAGATCACCTCCTTCAATAGCTCAAGACAATTAACTGAAAAATTAATAGAACCAGTAAGAGTATATAGTAAGGCAGTCTGATACAGGATCAAAATAGAAAACTCATACATTCCTCCATACTTGCAACAGTCAAATGGAAAATGTAATAGATAAAGTATACATACATCCCATTATAGCAGATAAGGCTTCTGATGAAAGATGATAGTTTCCATAAATTTATCTACAAATGCCATGCAATCTTAATTTAAAAATTCCAGGATTTTCCATGGAATTTGACAAACTGATTCTAAAATCCAACTGGAATAGAAAAAAAACCTCAATAATGGCCTAGAAATTCTGGAAAAATAAGAATAAATAGGTTGGCATCTCCTTCTTATTAAACTGCCTTTCTCATGTCACTAGGCACACTAGGAAGCAGAGGGGAGTAGTTAGACCAGGGGCAGATGTTTTAGCTGTAGGTTGATGCGACTGTCTGCTGAAGGTAGGGTGAGTAGCCAGGGGAACTTGGCGTGCCCTTAAGATCAATCACAGCTCCATTCAGAGATGATGGGCTTGCTGAACACCTGTGCTCTCCCTAGGTCTAAAGCAAATTCTGCAGAGGGGATTTGCCCTACCAGATACAAGGCCTATAGTAAGTAACCAATGCAGTATCCCAACAGAAAGGGACAAATTTTATAGAACAGAAAAATATTAATAATATCTAACACACAGCCCTTACCACGTGCTAGGCAATGTCCTAAGTGCTTTATGTGTATTGATTCATTCAATCCTCAAAAAAAACCTGTGAAGTAGGTACTATTCTAACAGAGAAGCACAGAGAGGTTGCCCAATGTCACATAGCTATTAAGGGACAGAGCTGGGAACAGAGCAGAAAAACAAATCCACATTCACATGGAAATTTACTTTATGACAAAAGAGGAACTTCAAACCAGGGGGATAATGATGAACTAGTGAATAAATGGTGTCAGGGCAAATGACCAACCATATGGAAAAAATTAAGTTAGATTCTTATCTCCCACAATTCATAAAACTTAATTCCAAAGAAAGAGGTAAAATTTTAATGTCTATACATATTTTTGACAAAAATATGAGTCTTCTTACACAAGACAAAATTTAAAAAATTGATAAAGGTAACTATGCAAAAACTGAAATCTACACGCTAAAAGATACCATAACTAAAATTAAAATATAAGCAGCAGACTAAAACATTTTGCAACATTTCCAGAATATATTAAAAAAAAACCCTAAGAAATCTATAATATAGGGGCACCTGGGTGGCTCAGTGGGTTAAGCCTCTACCTTCGGCTCAAGTCATGATCTCAGGGTCCTGGGATCGAGCCCCACATCGGGCTCTCTGCTCAGCAGGGAGCCTGCTTCCCCTCTCTCTCTCTGCCTGCTGCTCTGCCTACTTGTGATCTCTCTCTGTCAAATAAATCAATAAATCTTTAAAAACAAAAATCTAGAATATATAAAGAACTACAAATCAATAAAAAAAATCCCAACCATCCTAATAGAAAAAATGGTTGAAAGATTGAATGAATTAATTCACAGAAAAGAAATAAAGAAGGGGTACCTGGGTGGTACAATCAGTTAAGTGACCGACTCTTAATTTTGGCTTGAGTTGTGATCTCAGGGCTGTGATCTCAGGGACTGAGTCCCACATCAGACACCACACTCAGTGCAGAGTCTGCTTGAGACTCCCTCTCCCTCCCTGTGCTCACTCACTCTCTCTCTAAAATAAATAAATTTTTAAAAAAAGAAATAAAAAAGAGCCAATAAATATACAAAACAAACTCAAACACCATTTTTTGCTATCAGAGTTCCAAAAATTAAGAAGACTGATAATATCCACTGCTGGTAAGGTTCATACACTGCACATACACTGGCCCTTTCAGAGGGGAACTTGGCACTATTAACATTTACTTTGTACATACCCTTCAATCTAGCAGGTCTACCTACCCTACAGAAATATTAGCTGGCACATGGGCACAAAGAGTTATTTACAAGAATTTTCTTTGCAGCGTTGTTAGTCAAACTATAAAATTAGAGACAACCTCAATGTTAATCAGTAGGGAATGGTTAAAAATACAATGGAACATCTATGCTATAGACTACTACACAACAGGTAGATTTCAGTGTGGTGATGCAATAGATAGATCTCTATGTACTGATGCTGAAAGATGTCCAAGCAAGTTGTAGAACCATGAACACTACACAAAACTGTATCTATTTGTGTTTACATGTGGTTATAAGTACAAAATGAAAGTTATGTATCAACTGGTTAACACAGTTTACCTCTGGGTAACCTGCCTCAGAGAAAGAAGAGTATTAGTCAAAGGGCACTTTTATTTTCTCCGTCTTGTTCAAATCTTAGTCAATGAGAATTAATTTAAAGGTGCTATATGCAACTAATGAATCACTGAACATTATGTCAAAAACTAATGATGTATTATATATTGGCTAATTGAATTTAAATTAAAAAATAATATTAAAACCCACATTAAAGTCAGTTACACTATACAAAAAGGTGCATTATGTAATGTAGTACTTAACAAATCTTAGCTTAAAAAAAGGTCATCTCTTAAATGCAAGAAGTCTGCCGGAAGATCATTATGTATCTTTGCAAGGGATGAACCAAACAACAGAGAAGGAAATGGAAGTGACAGAAATAAAACACGCCAAGAGGGTTTGAAAAAAAGTTTTCAGTAAAGAAGGTTAGGCAATTTTAAAAATGGATGACAGCTGGGGCACCTAGGTAGCTCAGTCAGTTAAGCACCTGACTTTTTATTTCAGCTCAGGTAATGATCTCAGAGTCATGAGATCAAGTCCTGTGTTGGGCTCCACACTCAGTGTGGAGTCTGGTTGAGATTCTCTCTCCCTCTACCCCACCCCCCACCACATTCTCTCTTTCTCTCTCTAAAAAATAAATAAATCTTTAGAAAAATGGATAGTTAATTATTTTCTGAGGGTCTTCCATAAGTAAGACAATGTGCCAGGTGCTCTGTACAAGCATCATCTCTAATTCTTGCATCAACCTGTAGATATTTCCACTTTATAGATTAAGAAAACATGACTCAGAGAAAGCAAGTATCAAGCTTAAGGCAAGGTCTTTGCTCATTATTGTCACAGGCCGTCCTGGACAGGGAGTGGGTTTGAGACTGGGGTGAGGGGGAGCACTTCTGGCCTGGACCCAAGTGCTTGGTGGCCCTTACTATACTCTGCATCCTTGAAGCATGCTCCCAAGCTGTCCTGTTCATCCAGACTGGCATTCTCTTCCTCCTCCTCGCTCTCGGTTTTCCAGTATGCTGGCCGCTTGATGGGCCGCTTCCCTGGGGTGCGCTGGGAAGCAGGACTGCTAGACACTGTGCCCAGTCCACTGCTGGAGCTCCCACTGCTTCGGTCCTGGCCCCCAGTCCACCAGGCCTGCAGGCTGGAGGTAGCTGGTGAGGATGATGAAGACTGCAGGTTGGCCATGCACAGCATGCCCTGGATGGCCTCCTGAGTGCTGGGAGAGGCAGGGGCCTCGCTGCAAGGGACAGAGGAGAAATGCTTGAGGGAGTTCTCTAGCTGTCGGAGGAAACCAGTCATCAGAATAGTCAGGAAGGAGGGACAATAGCTACAGGAGTTAGGGTGGGAGGAAGGAGGAGAGGACAATTCTAGATAAGAAACCAGAAATTAAACCAACAGATCAAGATAGTACCCCAAAGGCTGTTTTCATGTAAAGGTCAGTCCTTCCTGCCCCAAGTCTTTCCACAGACAGCAAGGAAGGTGGCAAAAAGAGGGGTGTACTTCCTTCCCTGTTCACCCATGCTGAATTCTTCCATTAAAAAAAAAACAGGGCCCAGAAAAGGCTCAGCTTTCCTTCCATGCCTCTTCTAGCCCCTCTTCCAAATCCCAACGTACCCAAAACCAATCCCCTTAAAGTTTATACCTCTACTTTCCGTCAGATCTTAAGTTCCTCAGGACAGATTTCATGTCTACTTTATTCTTTCAGCCCGAATGCCCTTGCTAAGTCTTTGCCCCTTTAAATGGCTCAATAAATATCTGTTGATTGGCTCATCTAACCTTTTAGGTGGTGGGGGGGAGGGTGTGCTGTCTGATCGCCTGGAAAGGGGAGATCAAAGCCAGTACTCACGTGAGGGCAGCATAGTCAGGTCCCCCCACCTGCCTGCTGGCCTTAAGCAGATCAAGAATTCCACCAGCACCACTCCCATTCCCAAGCTTGCCTTCGACCCCTTCCACCATATCCTCATCTGTTGTATAGTCCTCCTGTTGGGGAAAGAGGGTATCACCTCAGCTGCTGAGGGTTGGTCTGGTAAGGCCCCAGTACAATGTTGACATTTTCACTCTGGATGCTAGTATCTCCTGAGCACCAAGTACAAACCAAACACTAAGCAGAATATTCGCTCTTTCATTTTAATCTCCACAGCATCTTTGTGAGGTAGGCATTATTATTTTGTGTGTGTGTGTGTGAGGTAGGTATTTTAATTCCCGTTTTACAGGTAAGGAAACTAAGGCTCAGGAAAGTAACTAAGTTGTGTAAGGTCATAACCAGATATTCCAAATCAGATACTCTTTCTGCTACATCACAATGCCTTTTATTCTACTCTGCATTAAAGGATTTTTAGAATATTTCAACTCAATTATGGTCTTCCAGTTATATGCTCAGGTCCACTGCCCTTAGCACACAATCATTCACTTAAAAAATATTTTAGGAATAAATGATAATCTGTCTCTTGTCTCTGTAACCAGAATGGCAGAAGACCAGACAACAGGGCAGGCTCCTACCTCAATGTCAAACTCAACTTCTCCTGGTTCACGAACTCGGTTGGGGTCAGAGCAAGGCTTCGCACGGGGTAACTTTCGGGGAAATTCTAGAAAATAATGAAATACACATATTGTGAAGATAAGATTAGCATCTGAACCAAATACCCAGGGGAAAAAAGTCAGAATATAATTTTCCTAAAAGTAATGACCACAGATACAGGACACAGCTAATTTAGGGAGGTTAGGAATTGGTTTATAAATAAATCTCTAGAGCAAAGAATACATGGAAGCCTAAAGAGCTGGTAAGTCAGAATGTCAACAAGCTCAGGCCTCAGGCCTTTGGTCTATCAGGAGGACCCAAAACAAATGTGAAATAGGCAGGAAAGGAACAAGAAAGAACAGGTACATACTTGGTCTTATTATCAGGGTTGCCTTCTCCTTTCCCAATCTCTCATCAATCTGCAGTTCATCATCTGAATCCAAGTCAAATTCATCCTCCATCACCTGTTCTGCCACCAGCCTAACTTTGTCTGCCTTCTTCGTGAGCTTGGCTCGCCGAGACTTAGATAAAGTTTTTACCCTCTTGGTACTAAAAAGAAAGAGAAGAAGAGCATAAAGATAGTCACTTTCAATATTATTAAAATGGCAACTCCCCCCAAATCGGTCTATAGATTCAATGCAATCCCTATCAAAATCCAGCTAATTTCTTTTATAGAAATTAATAAGCTGATACTAAAATGTATATAGGCACACAGAGGACTTAACATGGCCAAAAGAATTTTGAAAAAGAACAAAGTTGGAGGATTTATCTGCTAAATTTCCAAAATTTACTAAAAAGCAACAGGAGTCAAGGGAGTGTGCTGCTAGCCAAAGATAGACACATACATCAATGGAACACAGCTGTGAGTCTAGAACCAACCCTTTAATTCACAGTCATTGATTTCTGCCAAAGATGCTAAGGCAGGGGCACCTGGGTGGCTCAATGGGTTAAGCCTCTGCCTTTGGCTCAGGTCATGATCTCAGGGTCCTGGGATCGAGCCCGTCATCGGGTTCTCTGCTCAGCAAGGAGCCTGCTTCCCTCTCTTTCTCTGCCTGCCTCTCTGCCTACTTGTGCTCTCTGTCTATCAAATAAATAAATAAAATCTTTTTTAAAAAGATGCTAAGGCAGTTCAGTGGGGAAAGGATGGTCTTTTCAACAAATGGTGCTGAGATAACTGGATATCACATGCAAAGAAATGAATGTGGATTCTTACCTCACATCACACACAAAAATTAACTCAAAATGGATCCTAGATCTAAATGTAAAAAATAAAACTATAAAACTTCTAGAAAAAAATAAAGGAAACTATCTTTAATGACCTGGAATTAGGTAAAATTCAAAACATTTGTGCTGCAAAAGATACCACTAAGAAAATGAAAAGACAAGCCATAGAAAGACTAGGAGGAAATATTTGCAAATCATTCATTTGGGAAAGGATCTGCACCCAGAATAGTTAAGTAACGGTTAGAACCCAAAAATAAGACAAACAAGGCAATTTAAAAATGAGCAAAAGATCTGAAAAGACATTTCTCTAAAGATGATATACAAATGGCCAATAATCACACAAAAAGATGCTCAATATCATTAGTTACTAGGGAAATGCAAATCCAAACCAAAATGAGATACCACTTAATATCCATTAGAATGGCTATAATAAAAAAGACAGACAGTAACAATTGTTAGCCAGTATATTGCTGGTGGGAATGTAAAGTGGAACAGACACTTCGGAATAAATTTTGGCGGTTTCTCTAAGAGTTAAGTATAAAGTTACCATGTGACCCAAAATTTCACTCCTAAGTGAAAAACGGAAACATATCCTTAACAAAAACTTGTACGTGAATGCTCATAGCACCATTATCCACAACAGCCAAAAAGTGAAATCAATCCAAATAACTGTCCACTAGTTAATGGATAAACAAAATGTGGTATATCCATACAATGGTGTACTATTCAAAAATAAAAAGGAGTCAATTAACGATAAACACTACACCATAAATGAACCTCAAAAACGTTATGCTAAGTGCAAGAAGCCAGACATAGAAGACCACATGTTATGTTATTCCATTTATATGGTATGTCTAGAAAAGGCCAGTCTAGGGAGACAGAAAGTAGATTAGTGGTTGCTTGGGCCTGGGGAAGAGAACCAAAGGTGTAAGTGAGTATGAGTGATCTTCTTGTGGTGATAGGAATGTTCTAAAATTGGACTGTGATGATAGTTGCACGTTCTTTAAACTTACTAAAAGTCATTTAATTGTATACTTAAAGCAGGTTAAACAGCAGGTATGTAAAGTATACCTCAAAAAAGCTGTTAAAAATATATAAAGGAAATGAGAAAAACTACGAAATGGGCTTATGTAATCCCATTAGATATGATAAACAGTATTAACCAGTACAAACTGATGAAATAAACCTTATAGTTAAAAAAGAAACAAGCTTTTGGCAAATCAGTCTTCCTGATACATACATTCAGCAAGCAGTCTTTTGGTGAACCGGCTTTCAGTAAACTGGCTGACATTAAACTGACCTGTTTTCTACCTCACAGGATTTTAGGAGGTTTAAATGAGCTAATGCAGAAACCAACACATGGCAAGCGCCCAACAGTAGCTAACCTTATAATTAAGTTCTCTAGGCCTCAGTTCCCACATTAATAAAATGGGGATAACAACACTTACCTTTCAGGGCTGTTGTGAGGACTAAAGAAAATAATGTATTAAACAGCTAAGATAAAGTCTGATGCAGAGCAGGAGCTCAATAAATGGTAGCTATTTATACCCTGATCTTTTATTAACTTTTAAATATGAAAAATGTCAAACAAAAATATAAAAGTATAACTAACTCTCATGTACCTTCCACCCAACTAAGTTCCAGTGATTATCAACATACAGCCAATCTTGTTTCATCTACACTTCAGTCCTTGCGAAACACTGGATGATTTTGGAGAAAAGCCCAGACATAATGTCATATTGTCTGTAAATATTTCTATATCTTGTCTCTCTAGGTTCACTTAACTACAGTCTCTGGCAGCTGCAGGAGGTAACAGAAGCAGCATAAAGACTAGTGGGAAAGGGGAAAATGTCTCATGTCCTCAACAGCCGTTACAGGCTGGACCCTTAGGACTCTGAATTTTCTCCTCCCCAGGAGACCAATGATGGACCAAGGCAATGCTCAACAGTCGCTCTACTATTGTTTAGTAACTAGGTCCCAAACCCCAAGAATAGCCGTGCTGCTTTCAGAATCTGCCCTACTCTCACACTCCCTTTTTCCTTATCTCCCGGCCAGGTGGACCTACTGCACTTGCCCTTGGGATCCGAAGACCTTTTCCCACAAAAAGGCTATGAAGGTATTCTTGGCGCTTGTGTTCCTATACTATTGGTACTCTACTTGACTCTGGACCGCTCCTGTCTGGTGCTCTGAGTGTCCAGATGACCACTCTCACTGTCTTCCTCTGCCTCCCTACGTGTTCCAGGGTTTCTGATGATCCACTTAGCTTCTGGCTATACCCATACCATCTTCACCACCACTACCAGCATCTCCTTTCATCTTCAACATTTTAGTGAAAGAGCTACCACCGATTAAGCATTTACTATGTGCCAGGCCCTGTGATAAGCACCCTACATACATTATCTCATTTAGTCCTCCAACAACTCTAGGGTAAAAGCTTTATCTATAGAAGAGATATAATGAGGACACTGAGGTGCAAGGTTAATTAACCTGCGAAGGTCACACAGTGAATTCGTGTCAGAGCTGGGACCCAAACTCAGGACTGTCTGCTTCCGAAGCCTGTGCTTTTTGTGGTGAACGCTTAGATTTTATTCTTTTAGAAAGTGTTCTGTTAGAAATTATTTTAAGAAAAGCAATACATGCTTATTGTACAAAATTCAAATGCTACTGAAGTGAAAATTTCCTCTCCTGGCTCCCTTATCCTACTTTCCAGAGATAACTACTCTTACAAGTTTGGTGTGACAAGTATAAAATATATAACAAATATATTTGCATAAATATGTATGATTATCCCTAGAAGAAAATCATTGACACCAGTTGTCCATGGGGAAGGGAACTGGGGAACAGAGAGGGGTGGGAACAAAATTTTTCACACTGTACTGTTGCATACTTTTTAAATTTTAAACTGCATATACTAAATTTTAAACCTCTTCAAAAAAGTTTTATTAAAAATAAAGATCTATGCCACTTTTCTACACAAGCATACATACACACATGCACACACACCTTTTTTAAAAATTAAAATACAACTATTACTATGTATTATTTTGTGACCTGATTTTTTCACTTAAGAATATATCTTGGACACCTTTCCATGCCAACAGATTTTAAACTCATTTTCTCTAACAGCTACAGGGTATTCTATTCATTTAACCAACTCTTATTGACAAACACATTTCTAATTACTTACTATTACAAACAACGATGCGATGAACACTGAACATTTCTCATAACACACCTGTGCAAATATTTCTGCAAAATTCCTAAAAATCTAATAGCAAAAGGTATATAAAAAACTAATGCTCTTAATCAGCATGCTATATTCCCCTCTTATTTCTGCCAGTGGTTCTGACCCACTGACTTTCTGAAATTTCTAAAACTCATACAAAATTTTTCTCAGACTGCCAATTAGATTCCAGGCCTCTCCCCCAATGCTACCATGGTTGTTCTCTGAACTAAGCAATGATACCTGATAATATCTGGGTATTTCCCCAAGTACGGTCCCTCCCCCACTCATTTCCCAGACCCAGGTCCCAACTCCATGCCCTGTTTCAGTGACATGTTGCCACTGATAGTCCCAGTTATCTCTGTGTTCCTTCTTCCCACCTCACCTGCCATTAGACATCAACAGGGCCAGCGGGCCCTCATTCCCATCAAGGTCCAAGTCTGGCGAGTCATCATCTGAGTCATTCAGGCAGGTACCAGTGATGTTGAACTGCAGAAGGAGGAGGCTCAGTTGTCACCTGTCTGGGACTCGCAAGTGAATCCTGATGACCAGTTCCTTCCGGTTTCACTGGCTGAGTTCACTGTTAAAACCACCTGAACCAAGGCTTCCTGCTACACTGTCCCCCAGCCCCACCCCAAATGATCGCAAATGATCACAGGTTGAGAATGTATGGCTACCTTAGGGGAAACCTATCAATCTTGTAAAACATGTTCCCTTTTGAAGAGGGAGAGCATCTTTACGTGCCCATGGAGAGCACCACAATCTTAAAGCAAGGTGGAGCCCTGGAGAAGGGCTTTACTTAAGGACCAGTTCAAGACTCCAACCTGACACTCATATACCATGTTCTTAAATGTCATTCCCACCTAGCACTTCAAGATTCAGCTGAAGTGTCATGTCTTCTGAGAAGAACTGCGGACCATCACTCCTACCCAGATAAACTCATCCCCCCTCTGTGTTTGAGGGTCCCCCACACACCCTTGATTACAGCATCCTCCATACCTCATTGCACTCATTTGTTTTTATGCCTGTCTTTCTCACTAGCCTGCCAGTCTCTTGAGGGTAACATTCACAGCACCTATCACAGTGCCCAGCACAGACAAGGTCTCAATAAATGCCTGTTAAATGAGTGGTACTGGTAGCCAAACACCAGGGGCCCTAAGGGAGGTGGGAAGACAGAACAATCCTTTTGATCCCCTGATCTTCCAAGGGACCCAAAAGGGCTGGGCTGAACCCATGGGCCAGCACCCACCTTTGCTTTCTGGGAAGAGCCTGTCTTCAGTGCCTGATGATTGTATGGGTCCATGAGATTATAGCTCAATTGGCCAGCAGGCCCCAAGGCTGAGCTCTCCTTGCCCTTTCGCTCTGCCTTCTTGAAGAGTTCCTTGGGCTTCAGGCCTTTCTTCTTTGAACCACTTTTGGAGGGCAGTGACAGCCTGGACATGGATACTGAAGTGGAATGGACTGGCCTGGTTAAGGGAATGGAGCCAGCTGGGAAGATCCTCTGCAGCCCAAAGATATTGCTCGTCTTCCCAACGTTCTGTTGGAAGATATCCTACAAGAGTATTAGTACACGACGGGGTTAGCGCTTACTCCAGGGTTCTCTCTATGCTAAGAGCAGAGGTCTGTTCATGGCACTGGCAGTACCGCCATGGAAGTGTCTTACAGATGCTCCACATCTAGATGCACACCCTAGATTTTTCACAATGAGTCGGTCATCAGGAATTTACTAGGTGGCATTTCTTTACCCAGCCACTGACAAGTAAGGAGAAGACGAGCAGAAAAAAAGCCCAGCACTACTGTCAAAATTGGAGAAAAGACTCCAAATGCAGCTGGCATGAGACAGAAAGTACTTGAGTACTAAATTGTGTGGTCCCAACCCTAAGGACTGCAGGATTTGAGACAGGGTCTGGTCTGAAGTCTGCTACTAGCTAGCTCTGTGACCTCAGGTAAGTGATCTGACTACTGTTTGTTCGACTATAAAATTAAAGGAGCAGACTGTAAAGGTGGTTGTCAGAGGTGCTCTGTGGCTCCTCTGAACTTCTTGGGAGGAGCCCTGAAGACTGGAGGTAGGTGGAAGGCAACTAAGAGGAACATGTGGAAGTTGAAGCCTCTTGCCTTCCACCTTACTGACAGTAGCTATGCTTTGATTGGTTGGATACTGACCTTCCAGGTAAAATTTCATTTGACAAAAAAAAAAAAAAAAAGGTTCCATCACTTTAAAACACCTGAAAGCCAGTGGACCAGACATGATCCATCTCTCTAAGTCCTTTTCGAATGAGCCCAGGGTTTTGTATATACAAAACTGGTTTAAGCAGAAAGAGCCAGAGAAAAGGTAGGCCTTGTAACTAAACTCTGAAGGATTCTGACAGATGGGAATGGAGGAAAGGGAGGTAGGAGGTGGACAATGTAAGCTATGGTGTAGGCAGTGAAACATGCTGCAGGCGGTGCGGCTAGAAGCCCAAACTCCCAGTAACTCACTCTGACCACCCTTCAGCACAGATGTAGTGCCTATACCCTGAGTGCTAAACGGAAATTGACAGCTCCTAAGCTAAACGAGAGTTTAAGCTTCCTTAAGTCCAATTCTCCTCTGGTGCCTCTGCTACTTCACCAGCCCACACCAAGTTCTCTCTTTGCTGCAAAGTCTATTAAAAACAATGGCTCGCATTTATTGAGTACTTACTCTGCCAGGCACTGTGCGAGGGGCTCTACATACATTAGCTCTCGAGCCTAACAGAACTCTGAAAAGGTGGTGTTATTCCCCCTTTACAGACAAAGATACTAAGGCTCTGAAAGGCTTGCAAGTGATGGAGCAGGAACCAGAATCCAAGTTTCTCTGAGTCTCTTACCATCTACACTTACTGCCTCGTGGTATAAGCCACCTGTTGAAAGATGGCGTTGTAATCATGTTTAATCTGGGAGAACTGTCATTTTGTAGAACGTAGAGACTGAGTCAAAATATTAAATACAGCAACTACTACTATGACCTCCACCACACACCACTACCATGACCCACCATCAGAACTTACTGAACACTTACTATGTGCCAAGTACCATTCTTAATGCTCAGCCTGTATTACCTTATTTAACCCTTTTAACAATCCCTGAGTAGGTATAATTATCCCCACTTTAGAAACAAGGAAACTGAGGTTCAGACAGTGGACTTTGCCCAGGGTCCTCTAAAAGATTCTGAGTTCTTTGTGGACAATGAATTATTTACTTATTATAAGCACCTAGCCTAATGAGAAGCACACTCAAGGCACATAATAATTATTTAAATTAATGGAGTCCTTGGTGGGGTTTTCCCAACCCTTCCCCTGGACTCTCAAGCCAACTGAAGAAGCCTGACCTGCCACTTGAGCCTTGAGGCCCTTCCCAAACGCCTCCCCTGCTCCCCTGCTTCTTACTTCCACCAGGCGGATCTCCCTAGCCAGATCTTTAATGAGCTGTACAGTCCGCACTGTCTCCGGAATCTCATCCTCGTGGTCTGGCAGAGCCTGTCAAACAAAAGGCATGAAGAATAGACGCACACATAAATAGACAACCGATTTTTGACAAAAGTACCAAGGTAATTCAATGGAGAAAGGGTAGTCTCTTTAACAACTCATACTGGACCAAATGGATACCCATATGCAAAAAAAGCAGCTCAATCCATACCTTGCACCACACACACACACACACACACACACACACACACACTCAAATAGGATCAAAAGCTGAAATGTAAACTCTAAAACTATAACCCCTTTAGAAGAAAACAGAGGAGAAAATCTTTGGAACCTTGGGTTAGACACCAAGATTTCTAAGGACACAAAAAGCATGAGCCTTAAAAGAAAAATAAGTTGGGCTTAATAAAAAACAAACACTTCTCTTTGAAAAACACTGTTAAGACAAACCAGAGACTGTGAGGAAATATTTGCAAAACCTGTCTTAGATAAAGGACAGTGTCAAGGCGTGTGAGTAACTCTGTGGTGGGCTTGGGCCATACCCCTCAAAAAGTCAAGAACCTGGAGGAGACCCCTGGGGACAACCTGGCCTCTCCACTTTTAAGGACAGAGCTCAGGTGTGAGCAGCTACAGGTCCAGTGCTAGCTCCACAGCAACCTCAGCTGAGACCTCTTGGGTGTCTCACTTTAAATTTATTTGCAATCTTTTTGAATCCTCAAGATTTACATCTTTATGTAGACAGAGCTCTCAGGCTTTTCCCTTTTGATTTCTTCCACCAGTTTTCACTTCACTTCTGTATGCAGAGGACTGACAAAACTTCTTCAGCATTACCTTATTTACCATGGCTTTGATTCTTTTTTTCTTTAATTCTTTTAAGCCATCTGGAATCTATTTTGGTGGCTGGACAGGGGTGGGGTCTGAGAACCCATGTGATCCAGCTGGATAAATTTAATAGCTCCCTCCTCCTGGCCCAGGGGCTCTGGAAAGGTGAGGGAGCAAGTACCCCCCATGGAAATCATCTTCATTTCACAAAAGACTACTTCCATGAGATGAGAATGGGCTCCTCAGATCTGTGTTCTACTCTTCTCCAGCTCCCTCTGGCCACGCTATTTGGGGCCATCCTGGCTCAAAGCATGAGTAATCAGGACTCACTCCCCTCCCTTTTGTTGTTCCTGGGGCAGTCACTCTAAAGTTCACTTCATTGAACTTTCATTGAACATTTTTAGAAATGAAACATAAGGTAGCCACACCTGAGGGATATGGAGAAACAGAAGACTAGACTAAGGCCCAGGTATAGGTATGTTCAGAGAGAAAAGAAGGCCCAAAACATGAAGTCCAAGAATATCTGAGGGAAGGCCGGGAACGGGAATGGGGAGGTTGTGCAAGTTAAGCCTACAATGGCTGAAAGGTCTCCTTAAGCCACTGTACGCAAGGGGAAAGTCTGTAAAGAATATCAAAAGCATAAGGAAATATATTAATATTTCTTCTTTTACTTTGTTGCATTTCTTAAAATTTTTTTAAAGTCAACATTTTGAGTAGGTAATCCATTTACATAGCTCAAAAATTGAACAATATAAAAAGATACACATTGAAAAGCCTCAAAATATATTTGTCCCTGCCATAAGTGTCATTACCCCACACCCACAGGTAACCACCTTTATTACTGTCTTCTGCATCCCTCCAGATTGTGTCTGCAGGCAAATACAAGCACATAAAAAATCCTATTCTTGTTTTCCCCCCCAACCTTTTAACACATAAGGTGGCACATCACACACATGGTTGTACACGTTTACTTGACAAATTCTAGAGATCTTTCCAAGTCAGTACAGAGAAAACTTCCTTAATCTCTTTTATAGCTGTTTCGTATTCAATTGGATAGATGGATATTGGTGTTATTTCTAAAAAGCCATTTTGGCAGTATGCGTCAAGAGCCTTACATTTTTTCATATACTTTGAGCCAGTAATTGCTCTTCTAGGAATCTATCCTGAAGAAACAATCAAAAGATGAGGGACAAAGGTTGGTGCAAGCACACAGTCACTGCATGATTTGCTGTAACTACTCCCCCAAATAAATAAAGCAACAATAAACAAGTGGTGAGGTAATAAGGACAGTACATCCTTGTAAAAGAATATCATTTAATCTCCCTGATATGAGGGAGAGGAGATGCAACATGGGGGTTAAGGGTGTAGGAGAAGAGTAAATGAAGCAAGATGGGATTGAGAGGGAGATAAACCATAAGTAACTCTTAATCTCACAAAACAAACTGAGGGTTGCTGGGGGGAGGGGGGTTGGGAGAGGGGGTTGGGGTTATTATGGACATTGGGGAGGGTATGTGCTATGGTGAGTGCGGTGAAGTGTGTAAACCTGGCGATTCACAGACTTGTACCCCTGGGGAAAAAAAATATATGTTTATAAAGAATAAAATTAAAAAAAATATCATTTAACTATTAAATGTTTGTGGAGAACTTTGAGGACACAGGAAAATGAACATAAGCCAACAAACTCAGATACAAAACTGAATGTACAGAGTGATAGCAATCATGTTTTTTAAATGCATATAAAAAAGACCAGAAGAAAATATAACCAAATGTTAATGTTAATTCTGAGTGTTAAAATTACAGGTGATGTTTTTCCCTCCTTATACTCTTCTTCATTTTTTCTAATTCTCTAGAATAAGCATGTGTTACTTTTTATAATCAGAAAGAAAGGTTCTAAAAATGTTATCCGGGAGTCCTAGTTCAGTCCTCTATTCTAACTCCAGGAGCCCACAAGCCTCCCTGGTCTCTACCACCTCCCTGAAGCATCTACCCAAAGCAAGCCTCTACTGAGGGCAGAACTCTAGAGGAAGTAGAGAAAAAGCGTATTTACTTCTTTCCTTGTCCAGGCTCTAAAGGCCAAGTTCAGAGCTTTGCCACCATGGACCAGATAGGATGCTGGGTGCCTCCTATTCTCTCGCAAACCTAAAGGGGGAAAAAGGAAGGCAGAAGGTCAATGAAGCCATGTGGGGAAGTGAAGGACTTGTTACTTTTTTTCAGGCAACCAGATAAAGTACTCAACGTTCTAAGCACAACTCCAGATCTCAGTTCTTATAATAGTGTTCATTTAATAAGTACCTACTATATGCCAGGCATTTAATATCTACTATCTCACCCATCCTCTAAGCCAAGTATCATTATCCTCACTTTACAGTTCAGGAAACTGAGGCTCAGAGAGGCAAAGAGACTTAACCAAGGGGACATACCCAGTAAGAGCCAGAGCTAAGACCATGAATCTGAGGCCTGAATCTGAATCCTTCCACTACACTGGAAGTGCTCTGCCTCTTGGGTTTCAAAATGCAACCACACTCAGGAAGACCTTGATTGCCACCTACACAGAGCTGAAGGGCCATTAATAAATGCTCTCATTCTGAGTTACTCCAGGAGGAGGTTATGACAAATAGCTGGATTTCAGCTCAATACAGAATCTTCTACTGAACCGAGCTGTTCTGAACAGGTAATAACTGGTTAGTCATCTAGCCTCTGATTGAACACTTAAGTGACAGCCTGTCTAGGTAGCAGAATAAGGGCATGAAGTAGTGGGTAGGAGACTGTACTCATTGGCCTCCGAGATCTTTTTTTAGATTTAATTTATTTATTTATTTGAGAGAGAGAATGTGTGTGCATGCGAGCAGGGAGAGGAACAGAGCAGGGAGGAAGGGGAAAGAATCTCAAGCAGACTCCACACTGAGCACAGAGCCGAACACAGGGCTTGATCTCATGGCCCTGAGGTCACAACCTGAGATGAAAACAAGAGTCAGATACTTAACCCGACCGAGCCACCCAGGCACCCCTGCCCCTGAGGTTCTTGGTAACTCTAACATACTGATTCCTCGTGGCCAAGTTACCTTGAAGAATCTCAGGTCTGAGCAAGGGAGCTGCTCTAATTCAAAACAGACCAGAAAATCCCAGCAGTTTGGCTTCTATCTGGGCTGATACCTGGGAACCAACACAATGATGCCAGGCTGGTGAGGACTGGGCCTTGTCCCCATTCCATAGGAAGCACTTTCAGGAAACTCTGAGATTGTCCAGATTGAATTTTACTTTAATTATCAGGAACTAGGGATAATTTCATTGTAATGCAATTTTCTTAGCCACCTTTGCTAAATAAAGTTAAAATCCATTTTCTACCTTACATTATACTTAGTAAAAGAGCCAATCTTAAAAGTTCACACACTATAGGATTCCATTTTTATAGCTCTCTTGAAATGACAAAACTACAGAGATAGAAAACAGATCAGTGGTTTCCAGAAGTTATGGATAGTGCAAGGGGAAAGAATGGGTGAGACGATAAAGGGGTAGCACTAGAGGGTCTCTGTGGTGATGGAACAGTACTGTATCTTCTTTGAGGTGATGGTTACATGCATGTACACACACGTGCATGTGCATGCTCAGGGAAGCAGGCCAAAAGGGGCAGCTAGTAAAGGGATCCATACCTCGAAAGATGTCCAGGATGTGCTTTCCCACATACCAGCAGATGGTCTCAAAGTTAGGAAACTTGAAGAGGTCTGCTGTGCTCAGCCGTTTCTCAATCTCATAGGCTCTAGAAGAAGTAGGCACAACAACAATGATGATAAATAACATGGATCCTGTTTACTGAGCACCTACTAGATATGGGGTTATGAATGCTTTGTACCCACTACCTCTAATCCTCACAACTACCCTGTAAAATCCAACTTTGTGGGTTAGGGAACTTGAGCACAAAGATTATGTGACTTGCTCAAAGTCACATAAACAACTAAGTGAGGATGGATTATTCATCCCTAAACTGATCATTATAAGGAACCAGGACCTATTCCTTTCTGATCATCTTGCCTCCTCCAATGCTGCACTTCTCAGTATAGGGGAGAACCTAAGGACTCTAGCAGATGGGAATGGCCAACTTGGGATCACAACAGCTTCAGCACTCACTTGAGCTGCATTTCGATGTTAAGGCTGTGTAAGAAGTTCCCTCCAAAGGCAAGGCAGTCCACTGGGGTCAGCACAGCATGGATCCATCCTGCAGTGTAACATGGCAAAATCATAGCTGGCAGAGGGCCTTACTTCCTCTGGACATCACTGCCCCAACTCAGCTCAAACACAACTTCTCAGAACAGCTAATCTGGCAGTGACTCAGAAAGTTCTAGTTCCTCTACTCTCCCAACACCCATTCTGCCACCATTATAACCCTGAACTGGACCAATTTATGGGGTTATTAAACTCCTTCTACTTCCCTCCTCTAGACTTCCAATCTCTCTGCTGTTTTGCCCATCTGCTCTCTCATCTCTTAGAAGGGCATTACCTCCTTGCCAAGTCTCCCCCTTCTAACTTTACTCTAGGTAAAACAAAGAGCTTTTGTGTTGAACAAACCTGAGTTCAAAGTCTGCCATTTTCTAGCTAAACATCTACTTCAAAGGTTGGTTGTGAAGTATGCACCTAGTTGGAACTCAATTATATTCCTTGCCCTAGACTCTGCACTGCCTTCTGAGACCTTCTAATTTTTCTTCTTAAGCCTCTTTCATATTCATTTCCCTTTCCCCATCCATCCATCCTACCAATGCCTTGGTTCAAAACCCTCATTACCTATCACCTAAGCTATTTGCAACAGCCTCCAAACTGGCTCCTCTATACCAGCAGTTCCCAAGGTATGGTTCAGAGAATCCTGGGGCTCCCTGAGACTCCTTGAGAGCACATGTAAGGTCAAAACTATGCTTATGATGATACTAAGAAGCTATGTCTTTTTCACCCTCATTCTCTCACAGGTGTACAGTGTAGTTTTCCAGAGGGTAAATGACATGATAACACAACATGCAGAAGCACTCTTGAGAATCCAGTCATTTTCTATTAATCCAGACATTAAAAATGTTTGCAAAAATGTAACTGTCACTCTTCTCCCTACATTTCTTGATTTGAAAAGTTATTTTTCACAAAAATTATTATTCATGCTAACATGTAATGAGTTTATTACTTCTCAAATGAGTTAAACAAATATTTTTAAATTTTCTCAGTTTTGATTTATAATGCAAATATTGATGAATATAAACCACATAAATAAAAGCCTTGGGGTCCTCAGTAATATTAAAAAGTATAAAGGGGTCCTGAGTCCAGAGTATTTACAAACCACTACTCTATACCAATCTCAATCTCTGAAGTCTATCCTCCACATCTTGACTCTAAAATACAAATCTGCCCATGTCATCCCTGCTCAAAATACTTCAATAAAATGTACATCCACAGGAGAATGGATAAATTGCCATATACTCATACAATGGAATATTGGAAAGTAAGTAAAATGAGTGAACATGTACCAAAATGAATCTCATAATCATAGTGTTCAGAGAAAAAAGCAAGTTGGAAAGAATTACCTAATATGATTCCATTTATATAACATTCAAAAACAGTAAAACAATACTAGCTATTGACTTGATGAGCTATGACCTGTATAATAAAGGAATAGAAATGCATGAGGATAATAATTGCCACCTTCAGAACAATGGCTAGCTCAGAGAGGGAAAAATGGGAATGGAATTGAGGAGAGGTATATGAGAGGCTTCAAATATATTTGTCATATTTTATCTTTTTAGTTGGGCTATAAACACGTAAATGTTTATTACATTATTCTTTATATCTTTTGCTATATAAACAAATAAAACTTCAATGGTTCTCCAGTCACCTCTGGGGTAAGTTCAATCTGCCTATCTTTTCAGCTTCACTTCCTCCTTGATTTCTATGCTCCTGTATGCATGAACTACTTCACACAGCTTTGCTTTGCTTATGCCTTTTCTCTATGTCTGAGAGGACTCTTCTGCCTTTCTTTCCTTGGTCAGTCCATACTTACCTGTGAGGTGTCACTCCTCTGAGAAGATTTTCACAAACTTCCAGCTAGGCTAAATGCTCTTCTCCATACTCCCACAGCTTGTGGTAAATGCCTCTATTATGGCTATTAGAACATTATACTGAAATGGCCTACTGACCTTTTGTCTCTAGCACCTAACCCCATGTGGGTGTACTCGGTAGACATGCAATACTTGTGGAACTAAGTAGATTTTACCCAGTTCATGGAACTTCATACCAATAAGTGAATTAATCCAACTCAAATCTCTGGTAGGCAAATTCAATTCATTAAACAGTTATTAAATGCCCAGTGTAGAAAAGGTATTTTGTGACACCCTATTAGGCAAAGGACTAAAAGATGAATAAATGAATTAATAAATGCCTGGGCACAGAAAAGAGAAAAGCAGGTGGGTAGGGGGGAAAGTAACGTGCCTCAGCACATATTAAACATTATATATAAAATCAATGTAATCAAATCAACATGATATTGATATATGAACAGATAAATAGGTCTGTGCAACAGAAAAGAAAATCCAGCATTATACAGTATCATATCAGACAAAGATGTGAGATCTATATGGCAGTCTTATTTTATTTTCTTAAAGATTTTATTTATTTGAGAGAGAATGAGCAAGCACACTAGTGGAGGGAGGCAGAGGAAAAAGGACAAACAGATTCCCCATTGAGCAGGGAGCCCGACCTAGGGCTCGATCGCAGGACCCTGGGATCATGACCTGAGCCGAAGGCAGTCACTTAACCAACTAAGCCACTCAGGCACCCCATCTGACAATTTTAAAGGAGCTATCATAATAATGCTTCAGTGAACAATTATAAACATGTTTGCAACAAAAAAAGAAAAAGAGAAGATATAAATAAGAAACAAATGGAAGTTTTAGAACTGGAAAGTACTGTATCTGAAAAAAATAATGAAAGAGTTGGACTCAACAGAAAAATAAAGACAATGGAGAAAAGAATCAGAAAACTTAAAAGACAGAATAGAAAGTACTCCACATAAACAAAAGAGAGAAAACAGAAAAAAATAAATTCAGGGACCTGTGGGACTACAACAAAATATATATAGAAAATATATATAGCATTCATATAATCAGAGACCCAAAAGAAAAGAAGTTAGAGTATGGGACTGAAAAAGTATTCAGAAATAACAGCTAAAAATTTCTTCACTAATATGACAAAAAATATAAACCTACACATTCAGGAAGCTCAATGAACACATTTATTGTAAACCCAAAGGAATAAACGCCAAGACACATTATAGTCAAACTGCGAGAAACTAAAGAAAAAAAGAAATAACAAAGAGCAAGAAATGACACATATAAGGGAAAAAACAATTTGAATGATGGCCAAAATCTCATCAGAAACCATGGAAGTCAGAAGGAAGCAGCACAATATTCTTCCAAGTACTTAAAGGAAAGAACCATGAACCCAGAATTCTATATCCAGCAAAAATATCCTTTAGGAATAAAAGGGAAATCAAGACATTTACAGATGAAGGAGAACCAAGAAAATCTATTGCCAGCAGACCTACCCTAAATTCTAAACAGGGATACCTGAGTGGCTCAGTTGACTAAGCATCTGACTCTTGATTTCAGCTCAGATTGTGATCTCAGGGTTGTGAGATCAAGGCCCATGTCAGGCTTTGTGTTGGAAGCCTGCTTAAGATTCTCTCTCTCCTCCTCTCCCACCTGTCACACTCTCTCTCACTAAAACAAAACAAAACAAAAAAACAACTACAAAAAACACACACACACACACACTAAACAGAGAGGAAATGATAAGAAACTTGGAACCCCAGGAAGAAAGAACAACAGAAAAGTAAAAACACAGATAAATACAATAGACTTTCCTTCACCTGGATATTAGAAATTATGTTTGACAGTTGAAACAAAGATTAAAACACTGTATGAGGGATCCCTGGGTGGCTCAGTTGGTCAAACATCTGCCTTCGGCTCAGGTCATGATCCCAGGGTCCTGGGATCAAGCCCCACGTTGGGCTCTCTGCTCAGTGGGGAGCCTGCTTCTCCCTCTGCCTGATGCCCCCCCTGCTTGTGCAATCTCTATTTCTCTCTCTCTCTAATATAATAAATAAATCTTCAAAAAAAATACTATATGATATGGTTCTCAGTATATGTGGAAGAAATATTTAAGACAAATAAATATATTATAAATGGGAAGGGTAAAGGGATGTGAACAGAGGTAAGGCTTCAACCCTTCCCTCCAACTGGTAAAATGTCAATTAAAATGTTAATACCAGTAGCTTACCATAATATCTATCTTATCTATTATACATATAAATTAAAACTAGAGCAACTACTAAATATCTATACAAACCAGAAGCTAAAAATTCATATGGAAATTCAAGGAGCCCAGAATAGCCATAATAATCTTGAAAAGGAAAAACCAAGTTCGAGGGCTGATACTTCCTGACTTCAAAATTATTACAAATGCATTTATAATGTATTTATTTGTCTTAAATATTTCTTCTGCATATACTGAGAACCATATCATATAGTGTTTTTTTAAAGATTGTTTATTATATTAGAGAGAGAGAGAGTAATTGAAACAGTGTGATATAAGGATAGACATACAGATCAATGGAACAGAATTCAAAGTCCAGAAATAAACCAATACATCTATGGTCAACTGATTTTTGAGAAAAGTGTCAAGACAATTCAAAGGCGAAAGAACAGCCTTTTCAAATCATTCTGGGACAACTGGGATAGCCACATGAAAAAGAATGAAACTGGACCCTCACCTCATACTTATACAAAAGTTGACTTGAAATGGATAAAAAGAATGAAATTGGACCCTCACCTCACACTATATACAAAAGTTGACTTGAAATGGATAAAAAACCTAATGTAATAATCAGAACTACAAAACTCTTAGAAGAAAATACAAGTGTAAATCTTCATGACCTTAAATTATGAATTAGGCAATGATTTCCTAGATATGACACCAAAAGCACAAGCAAATAAAGAAAAAAGTAGATAAACTGGACTTTCGTTCTTCATAGGACATTCTCACCAAAGTGACGAGAGAAAATATTTTCAAATCACATATCCGACAAAGTCTAATGACCAAAATATATAGAGAACTCTTACAACTCAACAATTAAAAAAACAAAATTACCTAATGAAAAACTGGGTAACAGTTTTGAATAGATACTCCTCCATAAAAAGATACACAAATATCCAATAAGCACATGAAAAAATGTTTAACATTAACAGTCATTATGGAAACACAAATTAAAATCTCAGTGAGCTACCACTTCACATGCACTAGGATGGTTATAATCACAAAGACAGAAAAGAACAAGTGTTGGGGAGGATGTGGAAAAATTGAGACCCTATAATGGTGGGGGTGCTTTAGGAAACAATTTGGCATTTCCTGAAGAAGTTAAAACAGAGTTAACATATGACTCAGCAATTCTTTTCTTAGGTATGTTCCCAAGAGAGAAGAAAATATACATTAACACAAAAACTCGTACATGATTGTTCATAGTAGCATTATTCAGTATATTCAAAAAATGAAAACAACCCAAATATCTTTTAAGATGATGAAAGGATAAACAAAATGTGGTACATCCACACAGTGGAATATTATTCAGCCATTTAAAGAATAAGTACTGACAAATGCTAACACATGGATGAATCTTTTTTTTTTAATATGGATGAATCTTGAAAATATTTTGCTAAAAAAATATTTTGTTGAGTGAAAAAGCCAGGCACAAAGGACCACATATTGAATGACAAATATGCAGAACAGGCAAATCCATATACAAAGAATGGACAGAAGTGGTTGACAGGGGTGGGAGAAGGAGTGGAAGGAATGAGGGGTAACTGTTAATGGGAACAGGATTTCTTTTTGAAGTGATGAAAATTTTCTGGTATTAGACAGTGGTGATGGTTACACAACCTTGTTTAAAAAACTGAATGGCTTCTCTCTCTGACCTTCTCCTTGCTCATGCTCTCTCTCACTGTCTCTCTCTCAAATAAATAAATAAAATCTTTTTTTTTTTTTAAAAAGGGACGCCTGGGTGGCTCAGTTGGTTGGATGACTGCCTTCAGCTCAGGTCACGATCCTGGAGTCCCGGGATCGAGTCCCGCATTGGGCTCCCGGCTCCGTGGGGAGTCTGCTTCTCTCTCTGACCTTCTCCTCACTCATGCTCTCTCTCACTGTCTCTCACTCAAATAAATAAATAAAATCTTTAAAAAAAAAAACTGAATGGCACTGAGGCACCCAGGTGTCTCAGTTGGTTAGGTGTCTGACTCTTGATTCCGGCTCAGGTCATGATCTCAGGGTTGTGAGATCAAGCCCTGTGTAGGGCTCTACACTCTGTGCCAGGCCTGCTTCAGATGCTCTCTCTGCAACCCCTTCCTCTCTCACTCTCCCTCTCTAAAAAAACAAAACTGAACTGCACCCTTTAACATGGTAAGTTATTTTCTTTTTTTAAAGATTTTATTTATTTATTTGAGAGAGAGAGAGAGAGAGAGAGAGAGAGCGCACCAGCAATGGGAGCAACAGAGAGAGTTCAGAGAAGCAGGCTCCCCGCTGAGTAGGGAGCCTGATGCGGGGCTCAATCCCAGGACCCTGGGGTCATGACCTGAGCAGACACTTAACTGACTGAGACACCCAGATGCCCAGTGGTAAGTTTTTTTTAAAGATTTATTTATTTATTTATTTTTAAAAAGATATTATTTATTTATTTGACAGAGAGAGACACAGCAAGAGAGGGAACACAAGCAGGGGGAGTAGGAGAGGGAGAAGCAGGTTTCCCGTGGAGCAGGGAGCCCGATGCAGGGCTCGATCCCAGGAGCCTGGGATCAGGACCTGAGCCAAAGGCATACCCTTAACAACCGAGCCATCCAGGCGCCCCAAGATTTATTTTTTAAAAAGACTGTATTTATTTATCTGTCAGAGAGAGAAAGAGAGAGAGCAAAAGCAGAGGGAGCATCAGGCAGAGGGAGAAGTAGGCTCCCTGCTGAGCAAGAAGTCTGATGTGGGATTTGATCCCAAAACCCTGGGATCACAATCTGAGCTGAAGGAAGATGCTCAACTGAGCCACCCAGGCACCCCTAAAGATTTATTAATTTGAGAGAGAGAGAGAGCACACAGGCAAAGGTAACAGGGAGGGGCAGAGGGAAAGGGGAGAGAGAATCTTAAGCAGACTCCCTGCTAAGCACAGAGCCCAACTGAGGGCTTGATCTCATGACCCTGAGATCATGACCTGAGCCAAAACCAAGAGTCCAATGCTTAAAGGTGTTCGTAACATGGTTAAGTTTTATGGTGTGTGAATTACATCCCAATTTTTCTAAAAATACATTTAGCTAAATGAAAATGTAAACACAACATATCAAAATATGTGACACAGTTCAATCAGTGCTGAGGAGGAAATTTATAGCACTAAATGCTTACACTAGAAAAGAGGGAAATCTGAAATCAGTAATCTAAGTTCCTGTCTCAAGACTGGAGAAAGGAGCAAAATATACCCCCAGCAAGCAGAAGGAAGGAAAAACAAAGATAAAAGCAGAAATCAATGAAACTGAATAAAAAGACAACAGAAAAAAATTGATGAAACAGAAAGTGGCTCTTTAAAAAGTTTGAAAAATTGGCAAACCTCCATCAAGACTGACACAGAGTAAAAGAAGGCACAAATAACTAGTATCAGAAATGAAGCAGAGGATATCACTAAAGACTTGGAAGATATCAAAAAGATAGTAAGGAAATATTATGAACAACTGTATACATTCATAAATTTGACAACTTAGATAATATGGACCAATTCCTTGAAAACACAACTATCATAGCTCACCCAGTATGAAACAGATAATTTGAATAGCCTGCTGAAGTTTAAGGAAATTGAATGTTAATAAAAACTTCCTAAAAAAAAAAAATCTCCAAATCCATGTGACTGCACTAGAGAATTCTACCAAAGTTTTGAGAAAATTAAACATTAATTCTGAAAGCAAAGAATGAAAATTAAGAAATCAAGGAAAATCTAAATAAATGGAAAGACATACTGGGTTCATGGAAGACTCAACATGGTAAGAATGTCAACTTCCCCAAATTGAGACAACTGGGGGCATTTTTCAAAACAAAAACTCAGATCCCACCCCAGACCTACAAATTCATAATTCAAGGGGTGAAGCCTAGGCATATATTGTTTGGGTGGGGGGAAGCCCCACCCCACCCAAGTCATTCCGATTTATAGACTGCAATGCCAGCCTCCAGTCACTATCCCTAGAGTCATGGGGCAGAAAGACCTATTCTCTCTCTGTTCACCAAGCTGACATCAGTCCAGTGCAAGGGAGTCCATCAACCTCTTCCTAGACCTTCCCATTTGCAGCTTCATGAAGTGACCATGCTGCCCACTGGCCATCATGTGAATTTTCCTGTGGTCCAGTCTGAGTTACCAGTTGATATGAGAGGAATATCCCACATAATCAGATCAATACATCATGGAAAGGGGCTGACTCTGGTGCCACAACCTCCCTTTCACTTCCCGCCCTTCTGAAACCCTCCCAGAGGGGCCCAGGGAAGACCTGTAGGAATGAAAAGTGTCTGTCCTTGCTTCACAGAACACTTATAGCACTTGTCCACCTGGTCCCCAAAGAACATCTCGTTCTGGTTAGAGGAGCTGCTCCAGCACTCAAAGAGAGTCAGGTTGGCATTTGTTGGGCGGATCAGGTAGAAGATCTTCTCACCCTGAAACAAAAAGAGGTTGAAGTGCCAAAAATAACAGATTTTCCAGAAAAATATTCCAGAGGATCTCCGAAAGGATATTCTCTCTCTCATGCTCCAAGACCATGTAATATGACAGAATTCTTTTCCAACCCCATCCAAGAATCATTTTCATGTGGATTTGAAAAACTTTAAAAGGTCCTTTTGCACTTTGTATTTTTCAGCTTCTGTAAGATTGACAAAATGACTTGGAAAGGGCATCTCAAACAAAATTGTTCGGCTTAGGACAAATGTACACCAAAAGCTCCTATTTTAGATACAACCAGGCCAAATGAGAAATGGCCTCTATAGATGAGAAGATCAATACTACTAGCCCTAAGAGAATTTAAGGCCACATTACTGATGAAAAGAAAATTAAATTTGCCTTTAAATGCCATTTACAAAGAGTGTTCCTTCTCACACCTGCAATCAAAGCTAATAAATGTTTAAAAGTTCAGTAATTGCCCAAGGACTTCTAGAAGATTATATGTTGGGCGATTATCTGTTGGAAAAACATTTTATTTCCTAATTATGTTCTGCCTGGACAATCACCAGATAGATTATTTGGCAGAAAAGAAACAAAAGCCCACTAGTACAAAAACATCCCCAACTGACACTTGATTAGTTTAACTGGTATTTCACGATAATAAATTTCAATGTAGAAAAGCAACAACACTAGAAATTATCTACTGTAAAATTGGAAAAATTTGAATCAGATCAGTAGATTAGATAATAGTATTATATATATCAACATTAATTTCCTGATTTTGGTAACTATACTGTGGTTATATAAAAGAGAATGCTCTTATTTTCAAGAAATACACACTGATTACAAGATAAAGAGACACTATGTCTGTAACTATTCTCAAATGTTTCAGAAAAAAATATATAGAGGGAACTAATTTATTATTTATTACGTTTACTTCAGAGGAAGAATATAATGAAATGGTAACATTAGGAAATCTAAGTGAAGGGCACACAGAAATTCTTCCCACCATTCTGCAATTTTTCTATAAAAACTATTTTATATGTAAAATATATATATATTTCTATAAAAATTATTTTAAAATAAAAGAGTTAGGGGCACCTGGGTGGCACAGTCAGTTAAGTGTCCGACTCCTGGTTTTGGCTCGGGTAATGACCTTCATGGTCATGAGACCAAGCCCCACATCGGGCTCCATGCTCAGCGCAGAAGTCTGCTTGAGATTCTCTCTCCCTCTTCCTTTGCCCCTCCCACTTGTGCTTACTCTCTCTCTCAAATAAATAAAAGAAAAAAGTTAAACCTAACATTTAAGTAACAGTGATCTACATTCTCCAATTTCATGCTAAGCCAGTGGAAACAACTAGTTTAGTATTCACGATCATTTGGACAATAGCCACATCCAAGTTTTTGGCTCTTTCCTTGGCATTTCTTTTATAACTTTTTTTTTTTTTTTTTAAAGATTTTATTTATTTATTTGACAGACGGAGATCACAAGTAGGTAGAGAAGCAGGCAGAGAGAGAGAGAGGAGGAAGCAGGCTCCCCACTGAGCAAAGAGCCCGATGCGGGGCTCGATCCCAGGATCCTGGGATCAGGACCTGAGCCGAAGGCAGAGGCTTTAACCCACTGAGCCACCCAGGCGCCCCTTTCCTTGGCATTTCTGATAAGAAAATTAAATAGCATGATGGTGGAAAAGAATCAAAATTACTTAAGAAATTTGTTTTCCAGACCTCAAAAGTCCTTCATAGTCACTAACAATCCATATGTTAATTACAAAAATTTTACAACCACTAAATAGGAAACTACCCATAGGAACATTGACATTAAAAAAGACTTGTTATAGGGGCGCCTGGGGGGCTCAGTGGGTTAAAGCCTCTGCCTTCGGCTCAGGTCATGATCTCAGGGTCCTGGGATCAAGCCCCGTATCGGGCTCTCTGCTCAGCGGGGAGCCTACTTCCTCCTCTCTCTCTCTCTGCCTGTGTCTCTGCCTACTTGTGATCTCTCTCTGTCAAATAAATAAATAAAATCTTTAAAAAAATAAAGACTTGTTATATATGCCCTATCTGATGGTAATGGCACTTATGTGACTATATATGACTGTCAAAACTCATCAAACTATACACCTGGAATAGACTAATTTTATGGTGTATAAATTATACCTCAATAAAGATGGTAAGGGGGAGGGGAAGTTTCTCATGTTACCAAGAATTTCTACAGTAAATATGGACATTTCCATACACAGTCATAGGAGTATGGATTGGTTCAATTAAGATTAACAGTCAGAGAAAACCTTAGGTTATTAAAAAATGTTAAGCATCAAAACTGTAGACACAGTTTATATGGCATATCCACTAAGTGCCCAACCCCAAGAGAGCAGTTATATGGAGATGTCACCAAACAATCTGGGAGGTGGGTAGACCTTAGCAGCCTGTTTTGTGCTACCACCTGAAACAAAGAGGGAGGTTCAAGGCCAGGCTGCCTCTAGAAGTCACATTCATTCCTACCTTGAGCACATGGTACCAGACCGAGGTGCCACCAAAGTCAATGTGAAAGTCTGTATAGCTATCCCGCACACTCATGAGGCAATATTTCTGCACATTGGGCCTCTCAAATATACACTCCTCTGGCCACAAGTTCTCCACCCACGAGAGCTTCCGAACGATCTTGGGAGTCTCCACAAGGTTAGAAAGCCTAGCAAGGAAGGGGTGGAAAGCAGATGTCAGCTGATTGGGAATTAAAGGTTAAAGCCTGAATAAAATGTTCCCCATCCCAGTGAGAGTCAAGTAAGACAAAAAAATTCTTTCTGCAGAATCCCTAAGGGCACCTAGCTCACTTATTCCTGTAAGTCTGGTCAGCATCCTCATTCCACTCAGCTCCAGAAGTCCTAAGTTTTAGCTCCACAGCATCCCCCAGTTAAAGGAGATCATTTCCTCCACTAAATGCTCATGACTCTCCCAACCTAGACCCACTCACTTGGTACTTGGTCAATAACAGTTTTTGTACTGTCCCCATCCCATAGGGTCTTTATGAGGAAGCATTAGAGAAACTTCTCAAAGGCTCAGTTTCAGCTAAAGAAGTACCTCTCCCAAATACCTGATTGTTTTTGTCTTATGTAAAAACCACAAACCTTATAATGCTGCACTTCCTTCCTTGTCCTGACCTTCAGGAAATTTACTGAACACTCTACAGTCCTTCTCTACCAACTACCCAGACACTCATACACACATTTTGTGTGCAGATTACCCTCCAGATGCATCCTATTTCCCCTTTATTTTCCTTTTGTTCCAATTTTGTCCATTTTTTCCCTCTGTATCTCTGTAAGCTACTTCAAATAGTCTTTCAAGATGAAGGGAGATATAAACAACCATAGTTTTTTTTTAAATCCTCAGGTTGTTAAATTTGTATGTTAAAACCAACAGCAAGGGTTTTAATATTGTACTACAGTTATGTAAGATGCTGCCATTGATAGAAACTGGCTGAAGAATACACAGGACCTCCCTGTGTATTTTTTTGCAACTTCCTGTAAATCTGTAATTATGTCAAAATTCAAAGTTAAAAAAGTAATCAGACAGGAAGCTTTCTAAGTACAAATGGATATGTTATATAATACTTTGGGAACTCCCACAGTTCCGAGCACAGAGAAGACTACATATATCTACTGAGTGCATGAGTCCACGTAGAATCATTTAAAGGTTATTAGCTTTTGTTTTTCTTTTAAATCTAAGAAACCTTATCCTTAGAGAAACTACTTGGGGTTAATTCAGTAAATCTATTTCCAAGGACAGCGGACCTATCCTGAGAGTTAAACAGTGGCCATGCCACAATCTAAATACCAAAAACAAGGTCTAAGAAAGCTGCCCTATCTCTTGAAGGAGACAAAAAATAATTAAAATAGCTACTGCATACTCTATCTAACGCTAGAAACTGTAAAGAGAAACACAATTTAGTTGTTATAATGTGATCATCTACCCTAGAAAGTATAAACCATCTCATCATCCCAAAGGAAGAAACTACCAAGAGGAAGGGAAAGGAACACTTATACTCAGTATATCACAAGTTCCAAAGACTTTGTTTTTTACTTACCGCTGCCCTTCCTACCTGGTATCAGAGAATTCCAAACTAATGACATTGAGGACTTTCTCCCTCTTTCCACTGTAATAATATTTCACAAAATCACCGAGCTTCATCTTGCAGTCGGCCTGGCGGGTCACATCAATCACATCAATCTCTTTGTCAGAACCTGGAATAAAGAGATGGGTTCTGTACCAAGTGGCCTTGGACCAGGGAAGCCTCCCTCCCCTCCTCACCTGTCCCTACAATGGACTGACACGCAAAACTTCTCACCTCAGACACACTGCATTTGTGTGTGCATGTTTTAGAGGTAGGGGTAGGAATCCCTCATACTCTCCTTAGATCTACATGCTGGGTCCAGGTCTGCTACAGCAACAGAACAGCCTGACATACAGCATCACTCACAGTACAATCCATGTGCCTGGGCCCTATTTCCTCACTTCTCTTGCTATCCCCAAAAAGTCATGCCCAGGAGACAACTGGCACATGAGGGCAAAAGTCAAAGGCTTTCTCATCTCAACAGAAAAGAGACCATCATGATCCCTGGAATTCTCCAGGTTAAAAAAAAAAATGGGGCTCAGCCTAGGTGTTTGTGGCCTACAAGGAGGAAAAGGAAAAGAAAAGCAGGATTTTGGTTCTAGCTTTGCCAAAGAATGACTCTGGGTAAATCCCTTTGCCTCAGATTGCCAAGATGGCTAGAAAAGAAATGTAAAAGTAGACTGGAGGGGAAGGGTCATGGGACTTGATGAGAATAAACAATGTCACAGTTAAGAGGATCCATGGTGCTTACCAACATAGTGTTCCACATCCCTCACAGTGAATGATGGAGAGGGCAGTGTCATCCCCAATCCATCCTTCTTCAAGACTAGGATGGGCACACTGAAGCTATTCTCTTCCAGGAATTCCACGGTCAGCTGACTTCCAGTGGGCTTCAGAATCACTTCATCTGAGCTGTGGGCCACATGAGAGAAAGCCTGAGCCCCAGAGGCTCTGCCACAGAAGGCCTCACTTGATGCTGCTATTCACCCAAGGGGTGGGGCCTTCTTTAGTGGACCTTAATGTGGGGTAGAAGCTAATGTCATACACCTCATTTGCCAGGGAAGAAATGACCTATCCTAGGCAAGAAGCCTGGTCATTGGCAGAGGTGAGGAGCTAAACTTAGGATATATTGTCAATAGGGTACTCTTCTCTGAATGCCAAAAAAAAGAAATCAGCCAACAGCCTGTCCAGAAAGTAAAGATGTGTCTGCAAATTTAGCTAATTCACTCTAACCCAGAGCAGCATCACCCATTTAAAGACTGGCAAATAAAGAGAAAAGACTGATTTTTGGATGACATATCCAATAAAGGGTTAGTATCCAAAACATATAAAGAACTTACACAACTCAACACAAAAAAACACAAGTGATCCAATTAAAAAATGGTCAGAAGACATGAACAGACACTTCAAAGAAGACATAGAGATGGCCAACAGACACATGAAAAGATGTTCAACATCATTCATCACCAGGGAAATGCAAATCCAAACTACAGTGAGCAATCACCTTACACCTATCAGAAAGGCTAAAATCAAAAACAAGAAACAAGTGTTGGCGATAATGTGGACAAATAGGAACTCTCATGCACTGTTGGTACGAAGCAAACTGGGACAGCCACTGTGGAAAACGGTATGGAGGTGCCTCAAAAAATAAAATAGAACTGTCATAAGATCCAGTAATCACACTACTGGGTATTTACCCAAAGAATACAAAAACACTAATTTGAAAGGATATATGCAGCCCTATGTTTATTGCAGTAATATTTATAATAGCCAAATAATGGAAACAGCTCAAGTGTTCAATAGTTAATAATAGATGAATGAATAAAGATGTGGTGTACATATGCACATACACACAAACACACACACACAATGTGTACTATTCAGCCATAAAAAGGAATGAAATCTCACCATTTGCAATGACATGGACGGAGCTACAAAGTATACTGGTAAGCAAAATAAATCAGTCAGAGAAAGACAAATACCATATGATTTCACTCGTATGTGGAATTTAAGAAACAAAACAAAGGAAAAGTAAAGAGACAAACCAAAAAACAGACTCTTAACTATAAAGAACAAACTGATGGTTCCCAGAAGGGAAGTGGGTGGCGGGATAGGTGAAATAGGTGGTAAGAATTAAGACTACAGTTATCATGATGAGCAATGAGTAATGTATAGAATTGTTGAATCACTCTATATTGTATACCTGAAACTAATATAACACTGTATGTTAACTATATTAGAATTAAAATTTAAAAAGAAGAAAAAGACAAGACTGATTAAAAAAAAACAATTTTTTCAAGCACCTTCTCAACACATATACTTAGTTAACTAGAAAACTAGAAATCATGCTGGAGATAGACTATTTGGCCAAGTTGCATTGGAACAAACACCTGGAAAAATATTAAGCTCAATGTGTATCTCACTCTTTACATAATTCTAAATGGATCTAAGATTAAACTGAAAAACATGAAGTCACAGAGTAGTAGAAAAACATGGGAGAGACAAGGCCCAGTGGTAATTAAAAATAGCAATAAATAAATTTAACTACATAAAAATTAAAATTTCCTACAAGGAAACTTAGGGGTGCATGTATCTTCGGTGTTTTTTCTCTTCTTTGGGTAAATACTCAGTAGCAGAATTACTGGATTATAGGACATTTCTATCTTTAAAAATTTTCCACGGTGGCTGTACCACAGTGGCTGTACCAGTGCATAAGGGTTCCTTTTTCTGCACATCCTCTCCAACACTTGCTATTTCTTATCTTTTTTATTCTAGCCATTCTGACAGGTCTAGGGTCTAATAATCTCATTGTTTACTGTAGTATTATTTACAATAGCTAATACAGAGAAGCAACCTAAATGTCCATTCATAGATGAATGGATAAAGATGTGGGTGTACATATACACAAACAATAGACTACTACTCAACCATAAAAAAAAATGAGATCTTGTCATCTGCAACATGGATGGTTCTAGAGGACATAATACTAAGTGAAACAAGCCAAAGAAAGACAAATACCATAGGATTTCACTCATGTGGATCATGATGATCATTGAGTAATGCATAGAATTGATCATTTATACTGTATAGTTGAAAAACTAATAAAAGACTCTATGTTAATTATACTTCAACAATAAATACATGCTTAAATAAAATTTTGTGCAAGAAAAGCTATTATAAATCAGTAAAAATGGGCAGTAACCCAATAGAAAAATTGTCAAATGACATAAGCTGGCAGTAACCAGAAAAAGAAATAAAGATGACTTATAAAAGCACAAAAATATATGTACCTTCTGTGCACCTGAATGTTTATAGCAGCAATGTCCACAATAGCCAGACTATGGAAAGAACCTAGATGTCCATCAACAGATGAATGGATAAAGAAGATGTGGGGTGTGTGTGTGTGTGTGTTTGTGTGTGTGTGTGTGTGTGTGTGTGCATATATAGTGGAATACTATGCAACCATCAAAACAAATGAAATCTTGCCATTTGCAGTGACATGGATGGAAATAGAGGGTAGTATGCTGAGAAAAATAAGTCAATCCGAGAAAGACAATTATCATATGATCTCTCTGATATAAGGAATTTGAGAGGCAGGGCGGGGGGCTTTAGGGGGTAGGGAAGGGAAAAACGAAACAAGATGGGATCAGGAGGGAGATAAACCATAAGAGACTCTAAATCTCTTGAAACAAACTGAGGGTTGCTGGGGGGTGGGGGAGTAGAGATAGGGTGGCTGGGTTAGGGACACTGGGGAGAGTATATGCTAGGGGAGTACTGTGAAATGTGTAAGCCTAATGATTCACAGACTTGTACTCCTGAAGCAAATAATACATTATAGGTTAATAAAAAATATATATGGTATCATCGCTTTGGAAACAATTTAGCAACATTTATAAACATTTATTTAAGATTTTATTTATTTATTTTACAGAGAGAGATCACAAGTAGGCAGAGAGGCTGGCGGAGAGAGGGGGAGGCAGGCTCTCTGATGAGCAGAGAGCCCAATGCGGGGCTTGATCCCAAGACCCTGATATCATGACCTGAGCCGAAGGCAGAGGCTTAACCCACTGAGCCACCCAGGCGCCCCCATTTATAAACATTTTTAAGGCACATATTCTTTGGTCTAGCAATTTCATTTTTAGGTAGTAAATCCACACATATACTCATCCACATATACAAAAACTTAGGTACAAAGACATTCACTGCATACACTGCAACACTTTTTTCTAACAGCAAAATACTAGAATCAATTTAAATGTTCAATATGGGATGGGTTAAATAAATTATATAACCATACAACAGAATACTAAATGTTCATGAAAAAGAATGAAAAACATCTGCATATGCTATTATGGATTAATCTCCAAGATATGTAATTTTGGTTTTAAAAAAAGCAAGATGCAGAATACAGAGTGTATTAATGCTTTTTCAGAAAAGCAGGACACACACACACATACACACACACATTTATATTAAAAAACTATTTCTTAATGAATGCACAAGACAGTGGTTGACTGGAGAAGAGATCTAAGGGAGGAGAAAGGAGACTCACTGCCTCTGAACAAACAAATCAAAGAATATTAAGTTGAAGGAACACATAATCCTAAATAACATTTCAATTACAGGAAAGCTGAAAATGGTTGTGCAAATTAAAAACCAAGCAAAAGACAGTGCTTTATTCATTACTTTTTCTAACTCATTACTTTTATTCAAGTAATTTATTTTTAATAAGCCCATTTTAATATTTTTTAAAGGGAAAAAAAGCCACCTGGCTGGCTCAGTCAGTAGAACATGACACTCTTGATCTCTGGGTCATGAGTTCGATCTTCATGTTGGGCAGAGAGTTTAATTTTTAAATAAAAATTTTTTAAAATTAAAAAAACAGATTAAAAGGGGAAAAGTATTTTTTTTGATTTAAAAGAAATGCATGACCACTCAAACATTTTTTTTTAATTTTTAAAAAGTTTCCTTTTCTCTACAATGAGAGAATTAAACTTTCTGATTTTTAGACTCCTAGTTGAAGCATTCCTTGGGTGCATGTAAATATCCTCTCCTGACAGTAAAAACTGATTCCCAATCTACCAAAGGTTTTTACAAGCAGATGTTAACATACTCTGCATGTTAAGTGAAACTCTAACAATGTTTCTTAGAAAATGACTAAAACAGGGGTGCCTGGGTGGCTCAGTTCATGATCCCAGAGTCCTGGGATGGAGCCCCATGTCAGGCTGCCTGCTCAGCAGGGAGTCAGCTTCTCCCTCTCCCTCTGCCGGTCCCCCCGTTTGTGCTCTCTCCTCTCTCTCTCAAATAAATAAATAATCTTTTTAAAAATGACTAAAACAGAAGATCCATCCCCAAAGGGAACACACAGAACCCTAAAGACATTCCCAAATGAGGGAGGCACCTAACAGGACAGCCAGTGGGAAAGTTGGGAAGAGATGGATCCTAGCCTCCCAGAGCCCTGGCATTCACCAACCCTCACCTGTCAAAGGTCCTACTCCGGAGCTCTCGAATGAACGTAGGGCTTCCAGTCTTCACTGGCTTCCCCTTGTGTGTATCATGCCCTTTGGAAGATACACGGCGTTTTTTCACTAAGCCAGAAAAAGACATGAGACTGTGAGTCAGAATGGCCATGCGCTATGGTTCCAGGAGCAAAGGATATAGCAGATCCTGCTTCTCTTCCAACCTAACAACTTCTTGGAACACTTGGGAGTCAAGGAGGCCCTCACAAACTCAGGGAAAGCTCCTGGTGAAGCTGGTGCTTTCTCTGAGGAAGTCCCTAGGGAGATAAAGCTCTGCACTTCTGCCCTCTCAGTGGGGCAGCTACTAGCCTGACGGGTCTACACAGGCTTTTGCTATTTCCCAAGTATTCAGGCAAAGGCAATCTCCCTTCCAAGCTTCTTTTGCTTTGTCTCACCTCTGGACCATCTTCTCTTGGAAACCCCAAGATCTACTTACTAATGGAGGGCCCATGTAAGACTTCACAGTTGGGGCAGTGGTAGAGGTCAATGTCAGCAGCCTTTTCCTCTTCGACACCAACACAACTAGAAAAGAGAAAAATCAGTCAAGGATTATAAGGAAATTTTATTTCTCATAAGGTATAGAACTGTGCTGTCCAGTACACATGCTATTTACATTTAAATTAATTCAAAACAGGGAGGAACAACATGATCATACTAGCTACATTTCAAAATCTCAGTAGCCACATGTGGCTAAAAGTTACCATATTGGGCAGATTATCAAACATATTCATCAATACAAAAAGTTATACTGAACCACACTGGTCTAAAACGATTATGACAGAGCTAAAAATATAGACAGCAAAGCTTCATTAAGACTCAAAATGGTCAAGGGCTACCTAGGTGGCTCAGTCAATTAAGCATCCAACTCCTGATTTCAGCTCAGGTCATGATCTCTGGGGCCTGAGATGAGCCCTGCATTGGGCTCTGTGCTCAGCAGGGAGTCTGCTTTAGGTTCTCTCCCTCTCCATTTGCCCCTCCCCCCTCTCACACACTCACTCTCTCTCTAAAATAAATAAATATTTTTTTAAAAAAGACTCAGAATGATCAAAGCTAGAAGAGACTCTAGGACATGTTGTCCAATACAAATATAATGTCCAATACAAACACAAATAGCTGCATTAAAAAGGTAAAAAGAAACAGGTGAAATTAATTTCAGTAATATTTATTTTAACCAATACATCTAAAATATTCTTACTTCAACATGTAGTCAAAAATTTAAACTTTAGGGGCGCCTGGGTGGCTCAGTGGGTTAAAGCCTCTGCCTTCGGCTCAGGTCATGATCCCAGGGTTCTGGGATCGAGCCCCACATAGGGCTCTCTGCTCAGCACGGAGCCTGCTTCCTTCCTCTCTCTCTGCCTGCTTCTCTGCCTACTTGTGATCTCTGTCATATAAACAAATAAAAATCTTAAAAAAAAGGAAAAAGAAAAAAAAAAGAAAGCCAGATTTTAAAAAAAAATTTTAAACTTTATTTAGCTATTTTACTTGACTAAATGAAAAGGACTGAAAAGAGTATTTTGTAATCGATAGTGCTTCTGAGCGAAGGACCACAGGTAATCGTTTTTTTCCTCCTTATTTGTATTTTCTAATTCTCTACAATGGATATGTATTACTAATTTCATACTGTAACATCTAAAAAAGATTTATTTCATTTTGAAAATTTAAGTTTGCATGTATGTGAGGTGGAAATCTTACAAAATTAAACCCTTCTTCACCAAAGAAGTCACCAGCAGCCCTCCTAATAACTTCTGGCTAAGATCAAACTCCTGAATTACTTGGTCAGCATAAAAAAAAGGGCAGAACTCTGTAACTGTTTTGTCCAAGATCATGTTCACAAACTGACTTCCTGGGATCAGGACCCCACCACCATTCCAACTGCTAATCCTATGCCCATAAAACCTGCTGCATATCAATATAAATTGGGGATATCACCATCAACTAGGTAGAGGGTTTTTTTTTAAGGGCTCAGGGAACGTATATATAGTACTTAGCACAGTGAGCACAGAGAAGCACATGTCACCCTTCACCTGCCTAAACTTTCTTTAAATATATTCCCCAGACCTTGTAGCATTAACTCACTTCCTCGGACTTGTTTTCAGTCTCACACCCATTAGCCTGGGACACTGCTCAAGAAGGAACTGCTCCACTCGTTCCTCCTTCCTGAACTTTCATCCCATCAAACATCCACTGGTCACTGACATTCCTAACTTTTCTCTTGTACCCCCAGCAACCTCATTCCTTGGTAAGCAGACCTCTCTAATTCACATCCCCTTCAACAAACCCCTTCTTCACCTTCCTGGCTTAACTGACAGCAGTGTCTCCTAGAAGAAAGCCATTTTCCCTACACGAATGCCAGTCAGCTTGATCCACAGACTACAGACCACAGTTTTGGTCAACAGCTGTTTCCCACAGCTCTGTGGTAAATACAAAAAGTCAGAGCAAGCATTCAAAAAACTTGTATGGCAATTTGGCTGAGTAATTTTATGTCTACTCTTGAATCTAACAATAAAAAAATTGGGACTTGTATTTTGTATAGCTTTTTTTGTTCAACTATTTTTCTATTAATTCATTTTTTATTTTGCCAAATGACAGGTCCATTATAGATTGGAAAGTTAAACCAACCAACCAACCTGGTTCTTAGCCACAGAAAGTCTAAGAAGCACTATGCTAGAGCCGTGTCAGGCAGAAGCTGTGCCTTCTACCAGACCCTTATAACTCGGGGCTGCACTGGGGGTAGACATTCCCCTCACTTTCTAGTGAGACTTTTGAGATCATCTCTCCTCTACTCCTGTGTAAGATCTCTTACTCCTTTGAGCTTCATATCATCTAGCCATGCCTCTTCCCACTCCTCTTCACTGCCAGCTACTCAACTCCCCAACATAACCCTTTTACTCATTAAAGAACCGGCTCGCAGATTTCTCTCCATCCCATGTCCTGCCAACATCCCACAAGATGTCAGTATTGATGCAGAGGCCCAACAACCTGGCTCCTTAGCTCTTTGACCTTCTCATCTTCAGAGGCTACTCTGCCGACTTCCCTTTCAGCTATCCATTCTCATGGTCATCACTTGTCAAAACTTGCAATTGCTCCACATCTGGAATATGAAATTCATGTATCACACAATGTGACCACAAATGTAATCATCCAGCTCTCATTCATTATACCTGTTCTTTGCCCTCAAAAATCCCTTGATCCTACTTTTCACCTATTCTTAACTTCACCCTTCTTCCCCAGTCTACCTCAGATTCTAGCATTCCTCACTTCAGCCATTGTCGTACAGATATCCTCCCTTGCTCCGCTGCCTTTCCATCACCCCCACATGCAAATCCCAACCCTGACTCAATCCAACCATGTAACACTGGACCATTGGACATGGCTGGAGAAAAATTACCCACTGGATAGATGCCACAAAAAATTCACACTATCCAAAATATCTGAGTCACAGAATAGCCAACACAATATCGAATGAAAACAACAAAGTTGGAAGACTGACACTACCTAACTTCCAAGACTTACTGTAAAACTACTGTAATCAGGGGCACCTAGATGGCTCAGCCAGTTAAGCAGCTGCCTTCAGCTCAGGTCATGATCCCAGGGTCCTGGGATCAAGCCCCATGCTGGGGTCCCTACTCAGTGGGGAGTCTGCTTCTCCCTCTCCCTCTGCCCCTCCCTCTGCTCATGCACACACTCTTTCTCTCTCTCTCAAATAAATAAAATCTTTAAAAAACAAAAAAGGGTGGCTGGGTTATGGACACTGGGGAGAATATGTGCTTTGGTGAGCGCTGTGAAATGTGTAAGCCTGATGATTCACAGACCTGTACCCCTGGGGCAAATAACACATTATATGTTAATAAAAATAATTTTTTAAAAAAACAAAAAAGATTTGAAAAGAAAGTAAAGCTACAGTAATCAAGACAGTGTGGTACTGATGAAAGATAGAAAAACAGATCAATAGAACAGAATAGACATCCCAGAAGTAGATCCACATAACTAAACTTTGACAAAAGAGCAAATGGGACAACAAGATGGTCTTTCAAACAAATGGTACTAGAACAACTGGACATCCACACACAAATGAATCTAGACACAGACTTTGCACACACAAAAATGAAACGAAAATGGATCACAAATCTAAATGTAAAATGCAAAACTATAGCGCTCCTAGAGGATAACACTGGCTAAATATCTAGATGAGCTTGGGTATGGCAATACTGACATTTTAGATGTAACACCGAAGGCATCATCCATAAAAGAAGGAATTGATAAAATAGACTTCATTAAAATTAAAAACCTGATCTTTGAAAGATACTGACAAGAGAAGGAAAAGACAAGCCAAACACTGGGAGTAAATAGTTTCATGAGACTTATCTGATAAAGGATGTTATTCAAAATATACAAAGAACTCTTAAAAATCAATAAAACAAACCCAATTAAAAAATGCACAAAAAGATCTCTCTAGAAACCTCACCAAAGAAGATACGCAGATGGGAAATAAGCAGATGAAAAGGTGCTCCGTATCATATGTCATTAGAAAAATGCAAATTAAAACAACAGTGAGATATCATTATACATTTATCAGAATAGCCCAAATTCAAAACACTTACAACACCAAATGCTGATGAGGAGGCAGAGTAAAAGAACTCTCATTCACTGCTGGTGGGAATGCAAAAGTGGTACAGCCAAATATTTTGGAAGACAATTTGGCAGTTTCTTACGAAACTGAACATACTCTTAACATACAATCCATCAATCACACTCCCTGGCATTTACTCAGAGGAACTAAAAACTATGTCCACAAAAAAACCTACACATGGATGTTTATAGCAGCTTTATTCATAATTGCCAAAATTTGGAAGCAACTAAGATGTAGGTAAATGGATAAATAAACTGTGGTATACCCAAACAATGAAATATTTATTCAGCACTAAAAATAAATGAGTTATCAAGCCATGAAAAGGCATGGAGGAAACTCAAATGCATATTACTAAGTGAAAGAAGCCAATCTGAAGAGTCTACACATTTTATGATTCCAACTAATGGATATTCTGGAAAAGGCAAAACCACGGGGACAGTAAAAATGTCAGTGATTGCCAGAGGTTAGGAGGGGAAAGAAAGATGAATAGGCAGAGCACAGAGAACTTTTTTTAGGGCATTGAAACTATTCTGTATGATACGAAAATGCTATAAGGGTAGGCGCATGCCATTATACATTTGTCCAAACTCAGAATTTATGCTGCCAAGAGTAGACTCTGGTGCAAACGATGAGTTTGGGTGATAATCATGTGTCACTGTAGGTCTGTTGATGGTAAATGCACCACTCTGGTGAGGAATGTTGACAGTGGAGAGGCTATGAATGTGCGGGCAATAGGAATATGGAAAATCTCTGTACCTTCCTCTCAATTTGACTGTGAACTTTAAACTCCTCTAAAATATAGTCTGTTGGGTCATGCTTCCTCATGATGCACCTGTACTTGCCTGCTTCGGTATCTCTCCCATTATCCACAGCGGCTATTTCAAATCCTTGA